CAGCTTTCTCACGTAACAGAGTCTGACTTTAGATTCCCGATCCACCTGCCTCCACCTCCCTTCTGGGACTACAGGTGTGAGCCACACCTGGTTTGCCCTGATTCCTAAAGACGGCGCAGCTTCGGCTTCCCTCTAGCCCTGCCATGAGCATCAAGCCCCCTTTGCTGACACGATGGTCACCAGTCTCTTCCACCAGGTTCCCTGGAGTTTCCTTTCTCTGTTGTTTTATGATACAAACCCTGTTCACACCCCAGGTCCATCTCCCACTGACTCCAGGCCCACTGGTCCTCGGTCACCTTCAGGAAGCACTCCTTGCTCCCTGGCACCTCTGCCTTTGCGTATTCTCTTCCCTCTGGAATGCCTCACTTCTGCAAAGTTCCAAACATTTCAGAACAGTCAGCACTCCAGAGAAGCACTTTCCTACCTCTGAGCACAATTAACCATCCCCAGGACTGCTGTTCCCAGGCAGTTCTGATCACTGTATGATTATCATCTAGGTATCTTCATCTGCTGGGGTAAGAGTGTTCCACAAGGACGGGGTCCGGGTCTCATTCTTTCTCTACCCTTTCCCCTGACATCTAACACAGTCTGGCCTGAGTAAATGTCAGGAGACACTGAGTGACGCAGTGAGTGACACAGTCAGTGAGTGACAGACAGATCATGATTGAGCACCTCATGTTCTCCACCAGTATCAAAGGTTCTAGGGTGCACAAAGGACCCGAGGGCAGGGTGGCTCATGGCTGGGCACAGCATAGTCAGCTGACAGCTTCTGGCTGCCTGCAGTGTACCAGTGACTTGGCTAATGAAGATAGAGCTAATGATGGCCATAAAGGAGCACCCTAGACTTCCCTGGAGCCACGATCACTCTCCAGCTCTAACTGAGTCATCCCTGGCAGAGCCTCAGGACAGGGATCCTGTCTTAGAAGTAGATGGTCAGTAACCAGTGGTTGAACTGACACCCGACTGCCTGATTCTGTCTGTGACTCACTCCGGTCTCTCCAGATGGCAAGAATTCCACCTCTAGCATCACAGGAGTCTGAGCTCAAGTCTCAGTACAGTGACTAGCTTCAGACCTCCAGAAAGTTCCATACCCCAGCTGGGCCTGCTTCTTCCTCCTCTTCAGGAAACAGGACCCAGGCCCTATCCCAGGATGCTGATAATAGAGACAGTCTCCCAACACTGGAAAACCCCCATGGAGGGAGTGCCACCTCCCTCCTTCCACCGGACATAATCCTTTCTCTGGTTTTGCCATATTTTCCTTGTGTTCCTTGCAGAAGAGTTGAGTGACCAGAGAGATAAAGAAACAGAAGTGGGGGCAGAAAGATGGCTCAGCCTGTAAAGGCTCTTATGGCACAAGCTTCAGATCTGAGCTCCACCCCTCCCCCATCCCCTGGTACAGGGAAAGAACCAACTCTTGAAAGTTGTCCTTGAATGGTGCTCCGTACCAGTGAGGAGGCAGACACAAACACAACTTAGCTCACACACAGAAAGTAAATGAGAGAGAGAGAGAAGAGAGAGAGAGAGAGAGAGAGAGAGAGAGAGAGAGAGAGAGAGAGAGAGAGAGAGAGAGAGAGAGAGAGAGAGAGAGAGAGAGAGAGAGAGAGAGAGAGAGAGAGAGAGAGAGAGAGCACACTTTCTGACCACATAGAAAGAGCAAAATTTTGAGAAGGAACAAGACAGGGTTAATAAGAAAAGCTGTTTGATGACAGAAAGATTAAGTAAGTTGATGGTGTTGAGGAGAATGTGCCCTAAATACTTGGTGGCCCAGGGAAGAGGAAAGTGAGAGAGAGGAAGGTGGCCTGAGGACTTGCGGTAGTGCCACAGTTAACTAATAGAGGCCATTGATGAGAAAGCATCAAAGACAGGGGATGACTCCAAGTGCCTGAATCCCTTTTATCAGGTCACCTGGAGGAAACACCTCCTGGGCCAGCACTGTGGGAGCGTTGGGATGTGCTGGGGGGCAGGCAGGGAGAGGTGGGTGGCTCAGGCCAGGTCTGGAGATGGGGGCAGTGAGGGGCTTTTTCAACTTTAACGAATTTCACTAGAAGGTTTCTCTGGGCTTGGATGGTGGGGAATAGCTGAGAAGGTAAGTGTCCAGGTCACTAAAAAAGTCACTATGAATGATTATCTAGTTACAATCCTGAAGGCTGGGCAGAGCAGTTTGGATTGTAGATTCTGAGAACAACCTGAAGATGTATAGGCACAGGTCTACCACTTCACTCTTCATTCATTCATTCATTCATTCATTCATTCATTCATTCATCTGCTGAGACATGGTCTCCTGCAGCCCAGGCTGGACTTGAACTCACTATGCAGCTGAGGATGATCTGGTCAACCTGTGTCTACTCTCAGATAATCGGATTAGAGATGAGCCTCACTCACGGGGCTGGAGGTCAACTCAGGATTTGGCATATGCTGGGCAATTGAGCTGGGTTCTCCAGCCCTAACTTACTTCAATTTTTAAAAAGTTTTTTTTTCCGAGACAGAGTTTCTCTGTATTGTTTTGGAGGCTGTCCTGGAACTCACTTTGTAGACCAGGCTGGCCTCGAACTCACAGAGATCTGTCTGCCTCTGCCTCCCGAGTGCTGGGATTAAAGGCACCACCAATGCCTGGCTTTTTAAAAGTTTTTAATGTTTTGAGGTTTCTCTGTGTAATCCTGGCTGTCCTGGAATTTGTAGGCCAGGCTGGCCTTGAATTCAGGAATCAGCCTGTTTCTGCTTCCCAAGTTCTGGAATTAAAGGCGTGTACGGTCACACCTGGCTCCCTATTTTTTTTTTCAGACATAGTCTCACAATACAGGGCAAGCTGGCCTTGAACTCATCCGAAGCCTGAACTCACGGCAATCCTTCTGCCTCAGCCTCCTGAGTGTGGGGGTGATTGACATGAGCCTCCATGTTTAGTGAAGTCTGCCTGCCTTTCTTTTTCCTGTGACCTATGAGACGATGAACCACAAATCCCACAGACATCCCAGCAGGTGGCATGCTGGGAGTTCACAAAGCCAGACTGGGTTACATAAGAAGACTCTGTCTCATTTAAAAAGGGAATGTGCTGGAGAAATGGTGTCTTAGTTACTTCTCTACAGTGATAAAACACTGTGACCCAGGCAAAGTATAACAGACAGAATTTAATAGTTTTATAGCTCCAGAGGCTTAGAGTTGATGATGGAGACAGAGGTAGGCGGCTGGAGCGGCAGCTGAGTATTCATGGCCTTGATCTGCAAGCATCAGGCAGAGAGCCAACTGGGAATGGGGTGCATCTTTTGAAACCTTAATGCCTACTCTCGGTGACACACCTCCTCCACCAAGTCAATACTTCCTAATTCTTCCCCAACAGTTCCCCCAACTAGGGGCTGTGTAATCAAACATGAGCTTATGGGGTGCATTTTCATTCAAACCATCACAGATGGGTCGGCAGTTAAGAGCACTGTCTACTCTTCCAGAAGACCCAGGTTCAATTCCAAGCACCCATATGGTGGATCACAGTCATCTGTAACTCCAGTACCAGGGATCCTATGCCCTCCTCTGGCTTCTGAGGGCATTGGGCATGCACATAACGAACAGACATATTTGCAGGCAAAACTATCCACACGCAGTAAAGAAATAAAATACAAACAGAAGAGCATATGCAGATTGAAGGTGTCTCCAAGAAGTATGCCCACTCTTGGGTGCACAGGCACATTGCATTGTGACTGTGGCTTGGGTACCTATGTTTTTTAGGAGCATCTGCTGCAACATGCTTTTCAATACTACGTGGGGGTCAGCTTAGTGGTGTGTGTGTGTGTGTGTGTGTGTGTGTGTGTGTGTGTGTGTGTGAGAGAGAGAGAGAGAGAGAGAGAGAGAGAGAGAGAGAGAGAGAGAGAGAGAGAGAGAGACCTGTCTGTGTGGGTGACCCTGGGTTGTATACCTGAGTTCTGTGAATCCTGGTTGTGGCATCTGAGCTGTGTGGTTCTATTATTAAGAGGGTTGTGGGAAGGCACAGGGGTGTTTTTGGTGCTGGCACTGGGTATCTATAATGGGGAGGAGGCACAGTCCTAAGCTGGGAGCTTTAGAGCCAGGCCTGCCTGGTGATTCCTAGGCTGTTGCTCCTGAAAGAATGACCTCTCTCTAAGCAATAATTAACTTGGCCCCAGGAGATGGATCCAGACTGTGAGGGTGAAGGGGTGGAGCCTGCTCAGCACAGGAGTCATCTGAAAGCCCTGTAGGCAATTGTGCAGTTATGTTTCCTCCTGCTCACCCTTCAGGTCAGTCACCCCATCCAAGGTAACAGGGTCAACAGATCCAACAAACAGACATTAACCAATCAACACAGACCCTAGACAGGCTCTGAATGGAGCAGGACTGGAGTCTGTGGCCTGGTCAAGCACAACCTAGGTGACTAGGACAATGGGAATGACCCTCTGAGGGGCAGAGCAGGGGACAATGGAAGGGAACTCAGGGACTCAGGACACAATGGTTTCAGACTTTGACAACTATGGTGACCACGCCATATGTTAAACTTCTGTCTGTCTGTAACCCCTAAGCTGTTTCCAGGGCAGCCCTGGCTGCTTTGTTCCCTGGTGCTGGGAGAGTCATGAACCATTATCTTCTGTCAATACAAGAAGTGGGGGCTCCGAGGGTCAAAAATTATTGAAAGCAAAGTGGTCTTGTCTATTTTGGGAATGGGTGTTTCTGTGATTAGCTGCAATCCCAATTCCCCGGAGGTGAGAGAGAGACAGCCTCTAGGGGACAGTAACCTGAGAGAGGACAATGGAGGCTCTGGAGACAAGGACAGAAAGTCCCTCTGCTCAGGGAGAAGGGCAAGAAGGTGGCAGGTAGTAAGAGAATGCTTTTTGGCGGCTTCTCATTCAGTTGTAAAATAAACCTAGTCTCCAGCACTGAGGTCACCATCCCTCTCTGGAACGTTAAGGAGCTGGTCTCTGCTTCCATTCCAGGAGTTCCCTCTGGCAAGAGTAGAGAGCACCCTGGAGACTGGCTGGGCCCTTCCATAGGCAACTGCAGTGTCAGCAGGTCATACCTTTTATTACAAAAATCAATAACTTAATTTAGTTCTATACAAAGTCAGGAGGAATTCTGGCTTGAAGTACAGCCTCATTCATGCTCCCATCTCTGCCCCTGGCCCAGAGACTTTGGGGGCCATTAAGGACCTATTAAGCAGTTAGTACGCTGTGTCCAAACCAAGGAAGTCCAAGCTGGGGGCATGGCTGAGGTGAGGGCTGCTCCTGGGGAGTTGAGCTCCCCTTTGGAAGCACTGGACCCACTCTGCAGGTCACCTCAGCCAAAACATGTCTTCCAGCAGCTCAGCGATGTCAACATCTCCAATGATTGGGCGGAAGAAGAGGTCGACCAGAAGGCTGCAGGAAATGTTCTTGAGAGTGGAGGCCATGAGGAGGATTCGGGCCAGGCGGCCTTGGTTAGCTGGGTTCCAGGGCTCCAGGACTTCACACAAGGCCCAGTGAGCCTCCTGCTGCAGGTGGGAGATGTGGCGAGAGGCATGGAGGCCTGGCACATCTATGGCAGAGAGGGAGAAGAGGGCTGGTGAGCAACTACTCCACAGAGGCTAGCCCAGGGTGTGAGAATGTTCCCTCCCCTCATAGGCTGGGGTGCAATGCAGGGTCTTATGCATACTAGGGCATGCTAAGCAGGCATTTTACAATTGGGCTGTACATTGCTGGTTCCTTTAACATGCCAGGGAAGAGTTGTACCACTGAACTACATTCCAGCCCTTAAAGATAAAGAGACCTAATTGTTTGGTGATGCTATGTATCAAATTCAGGGCCTGTAGCTTGGGAGGTAATACTTTACTAATGAGTTACATGCCTTGGCCCACTCTACTACTTTGGAGGTTTCAATCACCATCTCCTTCATTTTACTCCATTTATGTGGATATAATGACTAAGACATACGGGGTAGAGAGATGGCTCAGTGGTTAAGAGCACTTACTGCTTTGACCGAGTATCTGGGTCCAGTTCCCACCTACATTGTGGCTCACAACTCCTGACACCCTCTTCTTGCTTCTGTGATCTTCCACCAAATGACACACATACATACAGGCAAAAACTTATACACATAAAATAATATATAAATAAACCTCTTTCTTATTTTATGTTTTGAGACAGAGTTTCTCTGTGTAGCCCTGACTCTCCTGGAACTTGACCAGGCTGGTCTTGAACTCACAGAGATCCACCTGCTTCTGCCTATGGAATTAAAGGTGTACACCTGATTAAATAAATCTTGTTTTCTTTTTTTTGGTTTTTCGAGACAGGGTTTCTCTTTGGCTTTGGAGGCTGTCCTGGAACTAGCTCTTGTAGACCAGGCTGGCCTCGAACTCACAGAGATCCACCTGCCTCTGCCTCCCGAGTGCTGGGATTAAAGGCGTGCACCACCAACGCCCGGCTCTGACTAAATAAATCTTTAAAAATACGTTTTGAAACAGCCGGGCGGTGGTGGCACATGCCTTTAATCCCAGCACTCGGGAGGCAGAGGCAGGCGGATCTCTATGAGTTCGAGACCAGCCTGGTCTACAAGAGCTAGTTCCAGGACAGCCTCCAAAGCCACAGAGAAACCCTGTCTCGAAAAACCACAAAAAAAAAAAACAAAAACAAAAACACAACAAGGCTGGGGGAGTGGTGGTACACACCTTTAATCCCAGCACTCGGGAGGCAGGGGCAGGCAGATCTCTGTGAGTTCAAGGCCAGCCTGGTCTAGAAGAGCTAGTTCCAGGACTGCCAGAGCTGTTACATAGAGAAACCGTGTCTCAAAAAAACAAAACAAAAAACCCAAATCAAAAAAGAACCAGAACCAGGCTGACTGAATTTGAATCCCAGCCCTGCCACTTGTTAGCTGGGTGACCTTGGATAAATAGTTTAATCTTTCTGAGTGACCTTAGATAAGCAGTTTAAATCTTTGTGCCTTAGTTTCTTCATCTGTCAAGTGGGGATAATGACCGTACCTGTTGCCCACAATTGCTGTGAGGTTTAACCAAATCACTATCTACAAAACCCTCAGACTAAGTCCTGACATATGGGAAATGCATGTGACCCTTTGGTACCATTTCTGCCATTTGGCATTAAGCTTTAACTTTCAGGGCCTGCCTCTTGACTTCCTCAAAGCTACAAAGACTATTTTCCCATGCCAGGCATGGTCTTAGTTTGAGGTCAACTTGCTTTCAATAGTGAGTTCTAGACCAGCCAGGGTTCCATGGTGAAACTCCCTCTTCTCCTCAGGGCCTTTCACCCCACCCCATCGCTGTTCTCCACCCAGGGAGTGATCACAACCTTCCCTTCCATTCCTTTTGTGTGGCCGCTCTGAACCCGTGGAGGACTTTGACCTTCAGAACCTCACCGTGCAGCCTGCCCTTGAAGATGTGGCTCCCGCATGGTCATATTGGCCTTACCGCCTCTCCCCTTCCGGCCCAGTGGCAAACACCAGTCTCTGCACTAGCTTGACTATATTCCCAGGCCCGTTCTGCTTCTGCCTTACTGTGCAGCCTTCCAGTAGTTGCTTAGCCTCTCTATGTCTCTCCTGGGAGATATCTGTTTGAGGCTGACAAGGATGTAAAGAGACAATGATTCTTTTCCTGGCTGGGTCCTGTCCCCACCCAGCTTGGCCCCCATCCAGGAGTGTCCAGGAGCTCACCTGGGTTGAAGAGGATGGTTCCTTTCAAGTAGGCATACTCCTTGGGACCAAGCTCAAGGCTCCCGAAAGACTCCAGACAGCGCTGGAGCCATTGAACAGCAGCCAGCGAGGGCTGTGGCCTGTCTGGTAGCTGGGAACCCTGGGTACCGCTGCTGGCTTCCTCCAGGAGGATTTTTTTAAGTATACTGGGCACTGGAGCCTCAGCCACCTCAAAGGTCACAGTATCTTGAGCCAGCCCAAGCAGGAAGAGAGGGCCCCAGCAGACCCCCAGCAGCAGTCGCTGATCCTCCTGGGGCAGGTGGCAGAAGGAAGGCAGGTTCCTGAGGAATGCTACTGTCTTGGCCAGGACATCCAAGGCTTCCCGGCAGGTGCGGTGGGGAGCCCTCAGGCGAACAGGACGGTGCTGCTGGCACAGGCAGTGGCTTGGAGAAGCGGCAATGGGCCTGGCCCTGAGGCTGGGACTTAGAAGTGCGTACAGAATAGCGGGGCGGCCTGCAGAGCCCTGGCAGGGGCAGCCCCCAGACTGGCTGGAGTTCATGGTTGGTGTCTTGTTCCTGTTTCTTCCCAGCTATCTGGCCCTCTGTACGCTGGGTGCTATTTATATCCTCCATGGGTGGGAGGGGGGAATGACCATGCAACCTTGACTCCAGAAGTCATGTTCATTGAAAAAAAAAAAAAAACCCATAGACACACAATGACCCTGGCGGGACTGGTGAGGAAATGGAGGGGGAAGGGCACTGGAACTCCACGTGGCCTTGCTATCACTTTAGTCAATGAACTGGCCATTGTGGAGCACAGGGCCACCTGCCCACTGCCTGGCTGCCCTTTATCAGATGACTCAAGTGTATAAATAAACAAGGTCATTAACCTAAGCTGTCCAGGGCACCAAGGTCTCAGGTGCTCAACCAGCCAGTGGCTGTGACTGCTGTTTCTATTGGAGGCCACTTTCATGCACACAAGACCAGGGTTCTCACTGAGCCAAGGAGCCAGCCAGAGAAAGCCAGCTAAGGCCTTGAATGCATGACCCAGCCTGGAAGTACCTTATCGCTGCTGTGTTTGCCTAACCTTGGGGCTCTGCTCCTGTTGTCGGTAAGGAACAGGCTGCAGGGAAGGGAGCCAGGTCCCCCGGGGACTTTGCTCATTGTACAGTTTAGGAAGCCCCCCTCCTGTGACTCCAGCGCAGGGGCCCCTTTGGAGGAAGACCATTCCAGAGCCCCCTGCTCCCAGTCTGCGTTCCTATAGCTCGAGGGGCTGGGCCTGCTGGCGCTTGCAAGACTGTGACACTTCAAGACTTCCATTTACTGAGGACCCACTACATATGGGTCACTTTCCACTGGAACGTTGAGGACTTCCCGGAGACACGATAGGTGAAGTGACCTGCTCAGTCACTCCAACTGGAAGGGACAGAGCACAGATATGTCTGGCCTCAAAGTCATCCTTGTTTGTCCCATCTACCCCCAATCAAACGTGCAGCTGAAGTGTGAGTTTCCCGGCACAGGTGGCTAGCAGCTGCTCTCACCCGCCCCTGCCTGGTCTGCAGGTGTGGTCCACCTACGGTGCGACTGAAGACACATCTCTGCTAGCACATGGCTCTTCTGTCCCAGACAGTTGTCTGCAGTGGTTAGAGGCGAGGTATGAGGGAAAGGGGAGGCCCTCGGTTGTGTCAGGTTCCTGACCTTGGCTAGCCTTGCCCAGCAGGCTTGCTGTCGCCACACTCTTGGGCAACCTGGTGCTCCGGATGAGGAGCCCTGGCATCTGGTCTTGGCTCCACGCTTCCCAGTCACAGTGTGACTGACTGTCAGCTGCCCTCCAGGGTTCTGTGAGCCTTGGTGTCTGTAGTGTTGACAGAGCGAGGGCCTGTGTAGGCTATGAAGCTGGCATCCCGCTCGCTCCTTTTAGACATGCAGACAGCCTGCTTTCACTGTAGTGACATATACCTCAGTCCAGGCCTCCTTAGGAAAAGGATAGACAACCAGGTGTGGCAAGGAACGTAAGAGTGAGAGAACAAACAGATGGAATGCAGAACCGGGTGAGGTCCTCACGTGGTCTTGAGGTTATATTCAAGCTTGAATTTTTTGGATTTTTTTTTTTGGTTTTTCAAGACAGGTTTCTCTGTATTGTTTTGGAAGCTGGCCTCGAACTTACAGAGATCCCCCTGCCTCTGCCTCCCTAGTGCTGGGATTAAAGGCATGCGCCACCAACGCCCGGCGTCTATGTCCTTTTAATCTGCTACATTGTTCTGTGAATATACCTTTGTTTTCTGCTATAAAAGACACCAGTTGGGCTGGAGAGATGGCTGGGATCGACATGTGAAGCATGTTTCTAATTTATATAAAAAACATAAGTAAAATAATAAAAAAGACATCAGTCTTCCTAGTTCCTAGAATCAGCCAGTACTCCAGTCTGATTCTGGCATGGGAGTGTAGTTAATGGAGGGAGCGTGCCTACCATGTGCAAGGTCCTGGCTTCTGTAACATGAACAATTTAAGACCCAGAGACAGATATTGGGGTTCAATCTTCAAGTTGGAGACCAGAGAAGCAAAGCAGCCAACCATTTTCTGTTACCTCTACCTCAAGCAGAAAGGGCTGTCCTGTCTCCATGAATCTCCAGAGACAATGCTATCTCCATGAATCCTCAGAGACAAAAGCTCTGAGTTCTGTCTCCTCCTGCCTTATATTCTGTGAGAACACCAGACCTTGAGCAGAGACCCACTTCCCCTTCTGCCTGGGAGTAGGCAGCTGTAAGACAATGTTTAGTAGAAACATGTTTACTAAAAAGGATACAATGCCAGGGGCAATAAGTTCCTGAAAAAGGCCTTCCCACGGAAACTGCCCTGACCTCGACCTTGTCCAAAGACTAACCGCATCTTCAAACCCACACACATCCACCTCTGGTGTCAGAGCAGAACCAGCCAGGGGAGAGGAGAGAGCAGAAACTTCTCTGGTGGGAGCCTTTCTTAGGAAGTTTTCTTGAGCCTTTTTGGGGCCTGCTTAAAGTTTTCTTTACATCATTGAACAAGTCTCTGTGTTGTCAATCCCCGACACCCTCCGCACGTTCTCGGACACAGGCCGAGCAGCAGACGTGACAATTGGAGGTTCCACCGAGATCCAGAGAGACTTGGAAAGACTGGGAAAGATTGGCCAGATGGAAGACTCGAAAAGGAGAGACTCGATAAAGAATCAAAAACAGGTACCTCAACTTCTAACAGTAAAATTAATTGGATTAAATCTCCAGGCCTTCACCCAACAAAGGTTGGGAAAGTAAGGGGACCCTGAGAGATTGCCCTCAGTTGGAGGGTGGATTGGATTAAATCTCCAGGCCTTCACCTGACACCAAGGTCAGGAAAGAAAGGGGAGCCTGAGAGATCACCCTAGGTTGGAGGATGGATTGGATTAAATCTCCAGGCCTTCGCCTGACACCAAGGTCAGGAAAGAAAGGGGAACCTGAGAGATCATCCTCAGTTGGAGGATGGATTAAAAGTGGGTAAACTAAAAATTGGTAATAGTTAATAAATGAGGTACTGGTATTAAGTAAAAGAAAAGGAAATGTTAAAAGTGCATGAAATGAAAAATACACAGAGAGTCTGGATACTGTGTACAGTTGTGTTGTCTTTAAATTGTTTAATTGCTAAGAAAGGAACAAAAACTGCTAAAAGACATTTGATTATTAATGTTGCTAAATTAATCCAACTTGCATGTTTTGAAAATGCTTTGACTTCTAAATTTAAATATAAGGACAGGTTACTTGGGAAAAGAATTTCTGCTTTTGTTTCCACAGAACATAAAAAGCTGTGGGTTCCTTCCAGACTAGTATGGTTTGATGAAGCAAGACCACCTGAAGCAGTGGCCCAGGTGATCCAACACCTAAAACAGCTGAGATGATGCAGCCTTACAGACCACAAAAACAAGAACTTCAACAGGGTTCTGGGTTTGTTTTTTTGTTTTTGTTTTTTTGTCCTGATCCCCATGGTATTTCAACGCCCCTGAACAGCAGGAAGTAGTTTGGAAAGAACGACGCCCACATTCCCAAATATTGTTTATAAATTGGCATTAACGTCCTAGTCACCTGAGATAGGTGCTAATTTATATATATAAAGAAGGGGGGAGATGTTGGGCCCCAGCCCCATGGGGTCTCTGTGAGTTGCTGGTCAGCCTACAAGTGCAACTTGTTTTCCAGTCCAAGTGCTTTCTGTTTTCTAGTCCTGGCTTACTGCCCTGGCCTTGACCCTCTGACATCAACATCCAGCAGGAGGAAAACAAGATCTCTCCTACCTGGGGTTTTTTCTACTGTGCTGTAAACCTGTATAAAAAGCTCCTCCCTCCTACAAGGGAGAGACTTCTTAGCACTTGCAATGAAGACACACACACACAGACACACTCTCCTGGCAATAAAGGCAGCACATGCATTCTCTTAGTACAAACAAATGGACGTCTGATCCTTCTTTCCCTGATACCTTGGAGTTGATTGTGGCGCTGCCTCCACAATCCGAGATCGTGAAAGCGAGGTAACTGGACGGTGTTAAGAAACTATGGGGAATAGTTCCGGGAAGCTAGAATCATTACAGTATCAACTAAAAAAGCTACTTAAAGGACATGGGACTGCAGTCAAGTCTAAAACCCTAGAAGGCTTTCTAAAATCCATCGAACGAGCCAGTCCATGGTTCACTACTGGGGGAAGCTTAAATATTCCAGATTGGGAGGAGGTTCGCTGTGATCTTCACAGACTTTTACGAAAAGAGGGATCTGAGTCCTTGCCCCCTACGACATTCTCCTTATGGAGATTAGTGAAGGGAGCACTTTTGACAGATAAGGTTCGTCACCGCCAGGTAGTTCAGGACACAAAAGAGGCTTTTTTAGAGTTACAAGAGACTGAGACTCAAGCCTCCTTGAGTTCAGGGGCAGAGAGTGAGGAAGAGACCGTGACTGAAACTAGAGGCTCCATTGTTAGTGAGGATGAGGGGGAGTCTCTTAGTAACAACAAAAAAACGGGTAGAGGTCTCCGGGCAAAACCCAAAAAGGGCTCCAGTCAGAATCGGTTATATCCTTCTCTATCAGATCTAGAAAATGGAAGTAGCTCAGACTCAGACTTGTCACAGTCTGAAAAGGAACGGTTACTTGCTGAGATCACGGCCCTTAAAAAAGCACTAAAAAAGATTCGAATTAAGGAAAGACAGGACAGGGAGAGAAACCCTTCTCCATACTCTGAAAAAAGGGACTCCTCCTATGAGATAACCCAGTCCTTCTCGGACCTGGAGGGAAGACCCAGAGGAGGGGTACAATGCTGCCCGGTGGTGGCCCCAGTAATGGAAGTTCCAGATCCGAACAATTCTGGACAGGTCATTCAGCGTCATAACCCTTAAAATTTTAAGGATATAAAACAACTTAAAGAGGCAACTTTAAATTATGGAGCACAGGCTCCCTTTACACTTTCCTTAATGGAATCTTTTGCGTCTCTTAATTTGACACCTGGCGATTGGCAGCAGCTTTGCAGAGCAGCTCTGTCGGGGGGAGATTATTTGATTTGGAGAGGTGAGTTTCAGGAAAGATGCAGCCAGA